GGGAGACACACCCGGAGAGAAACACTGATGTGTGAGAGACACATCAGTTGGTTGCCTCCTGCACACACCCTGACTTGCTAGCGATTGAGCCTGCAACGAGGTATGTGCCCTTGAAATGAATTGAACCGGGGATACTACAGTCCACAAGCTGACACTTTATTCACTGAGCCAGATCAGCCAGGGTTTCACAGTTTTTATTAAAAAAAAAAAAAAATTAAATATAAAGTTTGTATGTTCTTGTGTTAAAAATTCAAATAATATCAGTTGTATTAATCAGATGTAATAGTACCATAATCAGATGTATTAATATATAGGGCAAGCATATCAAACTCAAAGGCCAACATGGGCCAAATAAACAAGGTTTAAGTTTAAGTAGGCCTCAAAAAAACAAAAGCTTTAATTTTCATAGAAACGTAGGTTTATTTTGATGGATACATGCTGAATAAAAAGGGCTGAAATAAATGAGTAATCATTAACATAAAATAGAACATTTTAATAAAAATTAATATTTTTTCTTGAACATTAACTTACCAGACACTGAATAACTACCCAAAGTAATGAATGTAATGCAAAGAAACCTATTTTTCTTGTTTTCCAAAAGCAAAATAGTTTCTGTTGTGCACACCAAACAAGTCAGTCCAAAACTAATGACATGGCAATCGGCTGTTAAAATATTCGCTGCTAGTATTAGTGGAGAGAAATAGTGCGCCTATGTGTAAGGCGCGTAAGAGAAATGAATGCAAAATGATTAATCAGCGAACATTGTAGTTCATTATTAATAATGTATACAGGATATGGTAAACATTAAGTTACAAAATTAAAAAACAAAACATTTTATTGATTTTTTACAGAGAGGAAGGGAGAGGGACAGAGAGTTAAAAACATCAATAAAAGAGAAACATCGATAAGCTGCCTCCTGCACACTCCCTACTGGGGATGTGCCCATAACCAAGGTACATGCTCTTGACTGAAATTGGACCTGGGACCCCTGAGTCTGCAGGCTGACTCTCTATCCACTGAGCCAAACCTGCCAGGGCAAGTTATGAAATTTTTATCAAAACATTATATTGGCTGGGCCACAAAAATATTTGTTGTGTTCCGCGAGTTTCACATGTTTGACATAGGGCATTCCTCTTCATTAAAGTGAACATTTCTCTTCATATATTTACTCTCCAAATTCTCTCCACACACTATTTTTTTTCCCAGTGGATAAACAAACTATGGTATATCCATTCAATGGAATTCTAGTTAGCAATAGGAAGGAACAAGTTACTGATACATGCAACAACTTGGGTGAATCTCAAAGACATTGTGCTAAGTAAAAGAAACCAGACACAAAGGAATACGTGCTGTATGATTCCATTTATATGAAACTGGGAAAGACAAAGCTATAGAAACAGAAATAAGACCAGTGGTGGCCAAAGATTGGGGGAGGGGCATGGGACTAGGCTGCAAGCTGGCACAGGGGAACTTGTGGGCAAAAATCAAAGCTCTATATCTTGAATATGGTGGTGGTTACAGGACTTCACACATTTATCAAAACTCATTGAACTGTACACTTTTTAAAAAAGTAAATTTTATCTGATTGAATTATGGGACTGAATCTACCTATCTGAAGTGAGCCTGACTAAAAAAAAAAAAAAAAAAAAAAAAAAAAAAAAAAGGAGAAAGAAAGCAAAAGCAAAAGCATATATATACATATATATATTTTGAAGTGGAATTTTCTGTACCAGATAGTGTGCTGATTTTAAATTTCAATATAAGGCCAATTGTCCTCTAAAATGGCTATACCAGTTTATACCTCTACCAGTACAAGAGAAAAATGCCTATTTCCCCACACTCTGGCACAAATGGGTATTATCAATTTTTAAAAAGTTCTGTCTGTCTAATGGTAAAAAATGTTACTTTAGGCATGCACTGTGAAGATCCTGTCCAAATCGGTCTCTCTACTTGCAGTCTTTTTTCTCTCCAAATCACCTTATATATTGTTAATAGAGTAATCCTTCTTGTGCTTAGTTCTAATAATATCTCAAAAAATTGTTAATGTACCCCATTGCCTCCAAATTTAAGTTGAGACCTTTAGTTAGATATTCGAGTCTTTATTCTATTCCTGCTTACCTTATCTCTCTGTCTACTACTGTCATCACTTTTAGTAGAAACGTTGGCTCAACTTCTAGCTTGACGGTTCTTACCCTTCTTCTAGCTTTATTGTGATGTAATTGACATACAACGTTGTGTAAGCTTACGGCGTCCAGTGTTATGATTTGATACGTGTATATATTTGACACAATAAGGTTGGTTGACACCTCCTTCACCTCATATAATTACCATATAATTACCTCATATAATTACCATGTTGTTGTCACGGTGAGATCTTTAAAACTCTACCCTCTGCCAAAACCGGTATGGTTCAGTGGGTAGAGCGTCAGTCTGCGGACTGAAAGGTCCCAGGTTCGATTCCGGTCAAGGGCATGTACGTTGGTTGCAGGCACATTCTCAATAGGGGGTGTGCAAGAGGCAGCTGATCGATGATTCTCTCTCATCGATGTTTCTAACTCTCTATCCCTTTCTCTTCCTCTCTGTAAAAATTCAATAAAATATATATATTTTTAAAACTCTATCCTCATAGCAATGTTCCAGTATATAACACAGTATTGTTCACTGTAGTCACCGTGCTGTACTTTAGATCCCCAGAACTTATTCATCTTAGAACTGGAAGTCTGTACCCTTTCACCAACATCCTCCCATGTCCCCCACTCCTTAGTCCCAGAAGACCACCACTCTGCTCTCTGTGTCCTTGAGTTTGATTCTCTTTATATTAATCCTGTTAATGAAAAACAAAACAAAACACACACACACATTAAAACCTGTAAAGAATTTTTGTGAGTTTATTTGAGCCAAACTATGGACATATGCCGGGAAGCAGAACCTCAATGAATTGAGATAATGCTCCGAAGAATGGCGGGTTACATTTATATTTATACACTGCAATCAAAGGAGGGACATAGGTGGATTACATGAAATTCACTGGTGATGGATTAAGGAAGTGGAAGAAAGCAAAGCGGTGGGAAAACCCCTGGGATTGGATATGATAGCCAAAACCGGTTTGGCTCAGTGGATAGAGAGTCAGTCAGTCTGTGGACTGAAAGGTCGCAGGTTCAATTCCTGTCAAGGGCATGTACCTTGGTTGCGGGCACATCCCCAGTAGGGGGTGTGCAAGAGGCAGCTGATGGATGTTTCTCATTGATGTTTCCAACTCTCTATCCCTCTCTCTTTCTCTCTGTAAAAAATAAATAAAATATATTTTAAAAAAAGTATAATGATGACACATACTTAGGTGAATGCAGGAACAATTAACATGATAAAGAAGGAATTTGAGGCATCCGTCCTGGCGCCCACCACATTTGGTCCTGCCCCAGGGGCTCCAGAAAAAGAGAAGTTACAAGTTACCTAGACATCTCATAGATATGTTATCTTAGAGGCAAAAAGGCAAATGGGCCCAGTAAAGAAGATCTAAGTTGATCTTTGTCAGGTGAGATATCGGCCTAGAACATACCCACTATAGCCTGTTTGTAGTTATTTAATTTTCAAAACACGGTTCCTCACCTGCAGTGTATGAGCTGGAGGCAAGGTCTGCAAAGCTGTCTGTACATGGTGGGGGGTCAGAGGAGATCAGTTGCTGAGAACTGGGACTGTTTATGATGCCGAGGCATAATAATAAAGGACACATTAGGAACATCAACCAAAGCTATGCTTAACCTCTATTCTCAGTTCTCTTCCCTGAGAGGCACAGATAGGTGCTCACAGAATGCCCCAGCCTTACTCAGAGGGCTAGACCGGTGAGCTGCCAGGCTGGGTCTCCTAGGGGAAATAGCCAGGATCCTTTGGTCAATGCAGATGATTCCCATTTTGTACTGCCCACCTTAGCTTCCCAGGAAGGAAGGTAGTGTGCCCACCTCGCACCTTTAGCACCCTGCCTAGTGCACTGCAACAGGACGCAATGGTGCAAAACTGCCAATTCCACGTGGCAAGACCTTGAAGCCACCATCCTCCGAGTTAGGTGCCAGGCCCATGGCAGGTACTTGCCGAACGCCAGCTCCCTTCTTCGCTCTCCTTTCCCAAACGCTCATCCTCCAACATTCTCTCCACCTCCCACGAGCGCTGCTTTCCCTAAAAGGGTCTGGGTGAGTGCAGTTCCCCTTCAATTCTGTTCAACGGGAGCTTTCTGAAGGCCTACTACGTGCGAGCTGTGCGGGCTTCCAGGAGGCAGAACCCCAAGACTGGAGAAAGGATGGGTCAAGCTGCGCGCTTTTCTCAGCCCCTCCACCGCCCGGCGGGCTCCTGGAGGGCGAGCCGGACCTCCCTTCTGCTTTGTCCCCTCGGCAGCCCCGGAGGCTGTCCGCCAGCGCCGGCGCCCGCTCCCACCTGCCGCCCCGCACGCCACCGAGCAGCGCGGAGTCGGGCGCCGGGGGAGGAGGAGGAGGAGAAGGAGAAGGAGGGAGAAACCGCCGCGCCGGGCTGTTAGGTTTCCGGCTCCGACCCCTCCGGGCGGGCCTCCCTCCCTCCCTCCCTCGCTCCGGGCGCCCCCGGGGGCGGGACACGCGGGGCCCCCCGGCGGCGGCGGGGCCGGTGTGGCGTGCGGGTCCTGGAGGCGCCGGCTCCCCGCCCGGCCCAGGCCTCCGCGTCCTCCCGCGCCCCCTCCGGGAGGCGGGTCCGGGGGGAAGGACCGGCCCCCGCGCCGCGCAGCCCCGCGCACTCGCGCCCCGCGGCCCGCAGCAGGCGCCGGGCCGGCCGGGAGGGGGTGCTCGCCGCCCCGCGCCGGGCGCGTTGCCGGGCAGCGGCTGGAGCTCCAGGCTCCGGAGGGGGCGGAGCGCGGGCGGGCGTGCGGCTGGCGGCCCCTGTCCGTCCGCGGTTCCGGCCCGGCCCGCCCCCGCCTCGCCGGCCTCCCTGCGCGCCGGTGCGCGGCGCCCCGTCCCCGCCGCCGCCGCCGCCGCCGCCGCCGCCGCCGCCGCCTCCCGGGCCGGAGCGCCCAGCCGCGGGGCCGGGCCGGCGCCGGTCGGGACTGTGCCGGGGGCAAGGCGCGGCCATGGACCGGCAGCCCCGCGCCGGGGTCGCGCTGGTCCCCGGGCCGAGCGGCCACGGGCCTTCCGCCCGCCGCCGCCGCCGCCGCCGCCCGGGGCTGCTGCTGCCCGGCCTCTGGCTGCTGCTGCTCGCCCGGCCCGCCTCGTGCGCCCCAGGTAAGCGCCGCGGGGACCCCGGGCCGCCGCCGCCACCCTGTCTCCTTTTCTTGCTGCTATTTTCAAAATCCTGCTTTCCCCGCCCAGACGCTTTTATTCTCCTCCACCGCTCCCTCCCTCGCCCTCCTGGATGGAGATTCTCTTCCATTCTTCCTGGGCCCAGCAGCCCAAGGCACGGGGAGGGAAAGAAAGGGAGAGAGCCGGCGGATGGTGGCCAATCTTGCTCAGGATCTGCAAAGCTAATCCTGTTATATCCTCGGGGCTGAGGCGGGTCTGGTGGCTTCGTCTCCCGAATGTGCCTTTTCCTTTTTTCTCTGCAAAATTCAGGCAGTGGGATCGTTTGCGTGCGTGGCTGTGTCAAGGTGGTGTATCAGATGTGAGGGAGCACTTTATTGTCAGGCAGGAGGGGGACCCTGGGTGTGTGTGTGTGTGTGTGTGCTTTATAACGGTGTTGCATTACTCAGAGGAGCCCTGCGTCTCTCAGATACGGGGATCCTGGCGGTGTGATGTCCCTCCGTGCACCAGGACACAAAGAACATTCAAAGAACATCTCTTGGAAAGCGCCCTGGCCGCGGGGTCTTTCCAGGGAACTAGCTATGGCTTTTACTTCTGCAAAGGCATTAGTACAATAGAGCGTGGAAACATTGTGATTTCCGAGTGTCAGGGCATGAAAGGAGTCAGGGTTGTTTTATTTTATTTTATTTTTTTACATATAATAGATGCAGTTTACTGACGGCTCGTCAGCATGGAATTAAGAGGCATGATTTATGAAGGAGCGTGTGGGCGGGTTTTGTTGTTGAGGAAATGGTTTAATTCGTATTGCTCTTCTGAAATGTTTATTTGTCCATCCTGAGCGCACACATGGGATGGCCTGGAAACCATCCCTGAGCTGACAGGCTCTGAGCCCGTGGTTGCCCCCCGGGGCACTCACCCCTGACCACTTTGTGGGCAGAGAAGGGAAGGTGGCATGAGCAGCCCTGGGTGGGCATGGAGCAGGGACAGAAAGCCACGGGAGCGTCGCCAAGTCCTCCCTTCTCCTGAAAGATGGCCAGGTGGCTTTGAAAGAGAACGGGACACGTTTGGAGGTGTCCCCAGGACCTCACCGTTAGAGCCATCAGCAGCACCGCGTAGGCGATGGTCCAGTAGAAGCCCAGGAAGAGACTTCGGGGATCCGAGGAGGGAACCGCTCCTTTCACTAAGGAGGAAGCTGACCTGAGAAGTGACTTGCTCAAGGTCACTTTGTGAGGAGTCATCACCTGTCAGTCACCCTGCCGCCCTGACCCGCAGACCCGTCCGCACCTGAGGTCTCCATAAAGATTTCCCGCAGCGAGTGGAACCTGCCGCAGAGAGCCACACCAGAGCCTGGATGACAAACCGGGGCTCTCCCCAGCCGGATACCCAGGGTGCGAACAGCCGTGCCTAACACCGCACCTCAGGTCTCAGCCCTGCTCCCTGCAGGCTCCGCCCCGTGTGTCCGTGTGCCCGGAGAGGACCGGAGACCCGGCTTTCTGGGAGAAGAGATGTTCATGAAGACTGCCCCTGTTTTGAGTCAACAAGGAAGCCCATCTCATACTAACGGATTCATCAGCTGCGGGGCAGGCAGACTAATGATTTCCATTTACCGAGCGCTGCCTGTGTGCCTGGTGCTGTATTTTATTCACAAGACCCAATCTCCTTGTGGGTTAGGCACCATGGTCCCCCTTTTACAGATGAGGAAACTAAGGCTGCTGGCATTTAGATGAGTTTGACTCCAAACTCCACGCAGGTCACCTCCGTGCAGCTTCCCCAGGCGCCTGTGGCCAAATGGATATTTCGTGGATGTGGAGAGCGTCAGTGATTCTCTAATCCACATGTGTCAAACACAAGGCCCGCGGGCCAAATCCGTCCCGCCAGGCCTTGCAATGTGGCCCGCACCGCGCTGTCATCACTGCACTCCGCTGCGTTTCCATCACAATGACAGTTTATGACTGTTCAGTAAACCATTCAGCCCGCGATTTAGGCTGGATTTTAGATTTTGGCCCCTTCTCTGATTGAGTTCGACACCCCTACTAATCAGTCTGATGTCCATAGTGGAGCTGTTTGTTCGGTCCCTCCATAACTTTCTCTTCGTTAGAAGTCCATTCCCGTTTCCCCTCAACCCCCAATGCAAATCCAGGCCCCCGTTTTATTGCACTTCACAGGTGTTGCGTGTATATATATATATTTTTTTACAAACTGAAGGCAAGACCCTCCAGCAGCAAAAAGCTTAGGACTTGCCTTATTAGGGTGGTTTGACCCCGGCCAAAGCTGCAGTGTCTCCTTGGTGTGCCTGTGTTCAGCCTGGAGACATGGAATGAATGCTGTGTCCACTCCAGAGCTGACAGTGCGGGAGCAGAGACTTCCTCCTTCCACTCGCCTGTGCCTTGGCCTCTCCTGTTTGGCGCAGCTGCTTCCAGACCGGGTCATAGACTAGGAAGCAGCTGTCCTCAAGGATCCAATTGGAAACGCAAAGCTGTGCACAAGCAAGATTGCATTTCAGTTGTTGGGTCCTGGTCTCCTCTCTGTGCCATGAGGACCCTCTCTCTGGCTGTGAGTCCCGAGTGTTGTATTTTCCCCCTCAGAGTGGGGAGGGAGGAGGCTTTGCTGAGCTCTGGCATGGCGGTTCTCTTTCTGAAGAGTAAGTGGGATTAGGCAGGAAATGGTGCGTCTTGATCCTGATTTGGATTTCCCAGGTGCGACACCAGCCCCTCCCTCCCGTGGCTCGGAAAACTACCTCCTCCTCCAGGAGGTTTCTCTTTCTTTGTTAACTTCTGTGAAGGGGAGTCCGCCTTCCAGTGGGTCTCCTAATTTCAGTCTCTGTTTAAATGTCTATGTTTTATCGATGTCTGGCCTATTTCCATTTCATTCAGCATTCTGAGTGTGCCCTTTTGGTTTGTTGAAACATACGTTTGGTCTTGACTGTGCACTGTTGGTGGAAACCATTTGTAATACTTTGGGCTTGCTTTTGAATATTGTGCTTTTTAGGAGCTTCTACATCCACAATGTAAAAGGAAAGAATCGTGAACGTTTCTTTCATCGAATTCAGGGATAAGTCTTTCTCAAAATAGTTATTGTGAAACTGATAACTTTGCAAATTATTTTGCAATTTAGAAATTACTGGAAGGTAGAGAAAACAGGTGCCCACACTCCTACAACCCACAGATAACACTGAAAATAGTTTTGCCTTTTCTTTGTTAACATTAAAAAAAAAAAATTGAATTTACTTTTTCTCCACTTAATAATTGACTTAATGTATTTACTTTTTTTTCCCACTTAATAATTGACTTAAGCATTTCCTTATTCACAATTTTCCATTCTAATAATTACTTAATTATTCATTTACTATTTCCAGCATTTTTTGGCTGTTATAAACAATGCTGTGATGAATAGCTATGTGCTAATAGTAATTGTCTATATTTCTTTGTGGGTTTTTTTTTTTTTTTTTTTTTTTTTTTTTTTTTTTTAAGTCTACATTTCTAGAAGGGAATTAGGATGTAACATAAATCTAAGGCCCACCAGGCTGGATCTTTGCATGTGTTGGTCAGTGTGATGCGTGCCTTACAGGTGCTCGGTAAGTGGCTGTTGAGTGAACAACAATTTTTTATGAAGCTACAATGCTGAAATAAAGCCTAGCAGTTTATGTGGTAGCCTGATTCACATCATCACCACGATTGAATATTATTTTAAAAATCCGTGATAAATAAGTACATTGTTTTAATTTCTTATTACTTAAGAATTGAATATTTTTTGTTTATTTTGTACTTGTTTTTCCATTATTTTTAAAAATATTTTTGCTCAGAGAATTACATATTTAAACATGTAATTACATATTTACTTGTGGAATTACATATTTATTTATTTATTAAATATATTTTATTGATTTCAGAGAGGAAGGGAAAGGGAGAGAGAGAGAGATAGAAACATCAATGATTAGAAAGAATCATTGATTGGCTGCCTCCTGCAAGCCCCCTACTGGGGATTGAATCCACAACCTGGGAATGTGCCCTTAACTGGAATTGAACCCCAGACCCTTTGGTCTGCAGGCTGAAGCTCTGTCCACTGAGCCAAACCTGTTAGGGCTGAAATTACATTTTTAAACCTTTCTGTATACGGATAGCAACCATTTTTGTCCTGTGTGTTAACTGTTTCCCCTTCTAATGGAGTTTTAGAAATTTTTTAATATAATTTTTTAATATAATTTTGAAATTTAGAAGTTTTTGATTCTTTTGTTTAGCAAAATTGGCCATTTTGCTTTTCTTTTTGTATTTTTTTCCATTTCATTTATACTTATGGTAGGATACATTTTTATCTTACCTGATGTGCTATTTTATTAACTGTTTCAAGGCGAATATTTGTTACTAGGGGCCCAGTGCACGAATTCGTGCACCTTGAAAGGGTCGTGAGGCTGAGGTGGGCACAGGGGCGGGTCTTGGCCCATCCTTGTGCCCCCACCCGGCCCCTCCCGCCGAGGCTCCAGGTTCCCTGTCTGTCAGCAGCCCTGTTTCCACCACCGCCGCTCCCACACGCTGACAGGGCTGATCCCACTTGAACGGAGAGATTGGGGCTGGTGCCAGCAGGGGCTGCAAGCAGCGGCTGCTGCCCCTATCACCCCTTAGGAGCAGGGGGAGGTAGAAAAGCCCTCAGGGGTGATCAGGGCCAGCAGCTGTCGCTGTACCCACTGATGGCACCAAGCGATCGGGACTAGCGCTGGGCCCCGGCAGTGGGTGTGAGAGGTGGTCTGGTGCCAGCAGCAGGTGCAGGCGCCAGGTGAGACTGGCACACAGGAGCAAAGAATTTTCAGTAACCATCAGAGGTTCGCCTGGATGACAGTGACCAGTGCCCTGCCTTGGTCTGGCGCCCCTGCTCACTTGCTCCACCAACCTGCCATGGCCAACGCCCACCATGTTCCATGCTCTGCTACCTGCTGCCAATGCTTGCCATATTCCACACGCACCCCCTGGTGGTCAGCACACGTCATAGCA